TTATCTGAAACACAACACACACACACACACACACACACACACACATATATATATATATATATATATATATACATATATAAGTGAGTCTAAATAATACGGAGGTAAATTGTAAACTGATAATTTAGTTTAAATTGAAATATATTACCATTTAATAATCATTATTGATGATAAAATTATTTAAATTGGAATGAATTTTGATAATTATGTAGGTATCTAAAAACAGTCACGAGTTTAATATATGAACAAAACTCAAACGAATAGATGTCAACTTAATAATCAACAAGAAAAAAGTTTAGGAAAATAGAAAAGTTTACTAGATGTAAAATGAATTATTATTTCAATGTACTTTCTATGAATTTTTTCCAATCGTCTATTTCATAGGAAATACCCAAAACTCCACCAAATTAAATTCTTCGTAGATTTTGTAGACATTTAGATTTATATCAAACTTTAACCCCCAAATATACCCTTTAAAGTAATGCGAAATAACAGCATCCAAGAAATTGAGTGAAACCTTCTCTCATCAGGATTGTTTTATTGTATTTTCTTCTTTTTATGTCGACTTTCCTCTTCACCCCTTACCCATCCATATCTAAAGATAACATAAGTTGAGGTTTGTCTGGCCCACACCAAGTGGGGTTAGGGATAAAAAAACTAAATGGTACGTCTAACTCACTCCTGGCTTTTTTCCCCCCTCACTTCCTCACTTCGTTAATTTACATATATTAATACGGCCCGTCAAAAATGTAAATTTCTTTTTCCATTTTTATTTCAACCTTTGGAAGTAAAGTCTGATTATCCAGAGTCCTTTAAAAGGGCTGTGGTGAAATAATTTATTACATGCAACCTTAAAGTGGTCTGTTTTTTATTCAATATATATATATATATATATATATATATATATATATATATATATATATATATATATATATATATATATATATATTAAGTAACGATCAAAAACTTACATTAATGAAATTACTTCCATATGCAGTGGAACCTCGGTTCACGAATGTAATTGGTTTCTAAAGCCCGTTCGTAACCCGTAATGTTCATAAACCGAAACTATTTTTCCAATAGGAATCAATGAAAAATGGATTAATCCATTCCTGGTACCAAGATTATTGCTTATTTAAACTTTAACAACAGTACTTTATGCAGAGGTTTATGCACAAAGCTAATGAAAATCTCGACTTTGTGTAGTGGTTATCATACTTGTCCGATTAGAACAATTGCGACTGAGTAGTGAGTTCAGTACACACTGGATGTTCCATACTTTCAGCCATTTGCCAAATCTAATCTCCGCTTTGTAAGTCACAGAGTGTCCAAACCTGTGAGTTTGGAATGCACTGATTCTCAACCTCTATGACTACAGACAGGGAGGAATACAGAGGAGACTATACTGAAGGGCAGTGTCTCGTGTGGGGAGGTAGACAAACCCGACCACCGGGCAATTTTTGCCCAGACCTACGGGTTGGGATAAACCATGTTAAACCGGCATTGTGCAACATCCCGCTCTTTAGGGAGATCGAGTAAATACCGAGAACAGCATAGCTGACAGGAAGACGGCTTCTCAGATTAACATTTCTAGAATCATATTTAATAAGACTTTCAAACTATGGACGCTATATTTTAATTTATCAACCTAAGACAATGAGATGTCTGCTCATAGACGTGTATGCACTACGTATATATGACTAGGGCAGTTAGAAATAATGTATTTTAAAAAAAAATCCTATTAAAACTACTGTATATATTCCCATACCAAATTGACTTAGATTGACATATAGGCTTTGAAATGTCGTAAAGAGAGATGTGCTTTAATAAGATAATATAACATTTATATTAATACGATACACACACACATATATATATATATACATATATATATATATATAGATAGATAGATAGATAGATAGATATGGATGTATATATGTTTGTATGTGTATGCACAAAAGTTCAACGCATAGAGGGGAGAATTTTGCATACACTTATTTTTCATGCAGCCACCAAAAAAAACAAGCATATCTTACATTCAATTAACCGTAGGTCATTTTACAATTCTTCTAATGAGAGCATCTTCAACGAAGACAAAATATTATGAATCTATCTTTAAATATAGTGGATTTTCCATAATACAGCATCTGCTATGGCTTGAACCTGAGCTGCGTTTACTAGGTTATTCGATCTTCCACTACTCTGAGATCAAGAACACAACTTGGGCAGAGATGGAGCGGATGAACGAGGCCAACGATCAAAAGCTATAGTGGACCAGGGTCAGAATTGACCAGCACAGATTTCGCCCAGTGGTTAAAAACGTCGTCCTAACACCACATACAAACTACAAGCAACAAAAAAAAAAAAAACAACAGACAATGAAATATAATATAGTTTGATCCACCACACAGCAAAAACGTAAAAGCAAGCGTAGGAAAATTATTCATTAAACTCATTCACAAATACTCATCATAGCAATCATTGTGCACAAAATATTCGAAAGAAATACGGTAAAAATGATCTCTAGTTGCTGCGAAAACAGCACATGTAATAAAAAAGCACAAAATAAAAATAAACAAATCACCAGCACAAACGAAAGCCATTTGTAACTACAGAGCAAGGCATGAATGTCCCTTAGCAACTGTACTATTTCCCGATTTTCTCTTTTATTGACTTTGTTTTTTTTTCAATTCTGAGAACTTTAACTCATTGTCGACATGGAAAACAAAAATGTGCACTTAGTTAAAAAAAAAGTAAAAGTTACTAATATCCAAGAGGCATACAGAGGAGCGTCATAAAAATTTTGACTTTCTCTTTTGTTTATCATCGCTTGCCTTGAAAAAATCAAATGAAGAAAAGCGTCAGAAAGCACTAAGTACTATTTTCAGATTCTCCATCATATATATATATATATATATATATATATATATATATATATATATATTTCAGAAAAAAACATATTTGAAAATTTTGTTTCATCTAATTTATATTGCCTTAAAAGGTATATTTTATTTACATTTGAGTTTTTTACACACACACACACACACACACACACACACACACACACATATATATATATATATATATATATATATATATATATATATATATATATATATATATATATTCAAGTATAGGATTGGTGTATACGGAATAAGTTCCAATAACCAAAAATATTATTCTGAAAAGAGTGCTTAATACGAGTACAGAAAATACAATCATTTATGCGAAAATTAAAACATAAAAATGTTATAAAATCACTACGAAAATAGCCATTTTCTTTCAACACTTCTGGTGTCTTATCAAGTGATGGTGTTGAATGTAGAATAAAGGATTTTAAATGTTTCAAATCAATCAAACATCCCTTACTAGAGGAAACGTTATATAAGCTGGAATGAACAATCAAAATACAAGTATACGAAAATTAAAAAAACTTGACAACGAACTTAAATTATAATAATTATTTGATGCTTTAATGTTAGAGTTAGACTAAAATAGAATTCATTCTAACTAATAAATATCAAATTATACAACAAATTTAAAAATAAAAAAATTACCAATTTTAAATTTAATCTATATTAAGTTTAAAATTCAAAGCAGCATTAGATCTTAACGCTCATTCTAATTTAATTTCAATAAAAACAAAATAAATAAAAAAACATATATTTTCCTCAGTTTCTTTAAATGATTTTTAATTTTAAATTTTAAATATTATATATATATATATATATATATATATATATATATATATATATATATATATATATATATATATATTATGAAATCAATTAAATCAATTGGCATATTTTAATTAGTTTTGCTTAAATGTTATTTTGGACAGATAGCCATATTAAATTTAATGCTCAGTTTATTTAATTAAAGAGTATTTTTATTTGATTACGTTTACTGGCCTGAATATTCGAGAAACCTTCTCAGAAAATATGCTTCCCCCAGCAGGATTCGAACTTGCATTCCTACGGGAAATCGTCATTAGATTTAATCGGATGTCCTATGTTTCCGAACGGTTAGGCACGTGAGATCTATCGACGCTTTCCCATAGGGGATGCAGGTTCGATTCCTGCCGGAAGATACATGATTTCGAATATCCCGGCCGCTAAAAGTAATTAAATAAAAATACTTTTTCATTAAGTTAAACGAGCATTCATTTGAATAGGTTATTTATCTAAAATAACACTTAAGCAAAGCAAATTTTATATATTTATAGATATATATATATACTGACTAATTTCGATTCCTTTCTTTCTTGTTGATAAATTTGTTTTTTTCCTTTATCTTTCTTTCACATGCCATCCACTTTTTCGTGAATGTGCTACATAATTTGGCATACACTGTTTTTTTTACCTCTTACGACTTTTTTCTTTGATATTTTTTACCAGCAGTTCTACTATTTAAAATATTGTTAGTCAAAAAGTTCGTTCGGTTTATGAACTAAATCTTCTACTTAATAAGCGAACTAAATTGTTGGCCAACCCAATATAATATAAAGAAGCAACATTTGCAAAATATTAACCGTTGAAAAGAAAGTCGACCAAAGCCTTTTTTGTCGTAATGGCGTATCTAATTGGGGTGAATAAAAACTTCTTATCGTTGGTTTATGCGAAAATTATTTCTACACTGTTGTGCATATTTCCGTTTGACCTTTCCCTTCGCCGTCAAGTCTTTCCTGTTAACTTTTCGTTTCCTTCTGTCGTCTCGAGCCCCCGTCTGGCTGGACTTGGTTTTTATTGCCCTGTTATCGTATCGTTAATTTCTAACTATGTCTGCATTATTGCACCTTACGTACAATTTCATCGGATGATTGCATGTGAAATTTCTTTCCTGTTTATTCTTCAGGCAATTATCTTCATATTTTCTTGTTTATTCTTCTATAATATTCTCGTCTGTTATTTTAAACAAATCTTTGGGGCCGATATATTGCCAAGGTTAAGCGTAGAATGTATTTGTAGAGGATGATAAAGAAAAAAAGTCATAAAGAAGTGAAATTAATGTAAAAGAGACATTGAAAGCAATGTAATTATATAAGAGAAAGTAAAAAGAGAAAGGATAAGAATGATAATGATAAAAGAAAGAAAATATAAGAATGGTAATGAATAAAGAAAGACAGAAAGAAAGAAAGCAAAAGGATGATGATGAATAAAGAAAGACTGAAAAAAAGAAAGGAGAATGAAGAAAGAAAGAAAGAAAGAAAGAAAGAAAGAGACAAACAAACAATGAATAAGAATTATAACGCAAAATGAAAAACGGAAAGAAAGAAGAACTATGGAAAATAAATTAATATAAAAAAAACTGAGTGCAGACTAATTATAGAAAAGAAAGAAAACAGCGAAAGGATAAATAAAGACAGGTAAAATAGGAAGGTGAAAGAAAGGGGAAAAGACAACAATAAAAATGAAAAGAAAGAAAAAAAGAAAGAAGGAAAGAAAGAATAGGAATAATAAGAATGAAAGAATGAATCAATGAATACGAATGATAATAATGAAAGGACGACCTAAAGAAAAATAAATAATATAAAATTACAATGAAAGGAGAGTAATTATGGAAAAGAAAGCAGGAAATGATAAAGAAAGAAATAGAAAGAATAAAGAAAAGAAAAATTATTGAACACTAGAAAAAGAGAAAGAAAAACCAGAAATAAAACCAAAACATCAGCAGATAAGAAAAATTGAAAAATAAGAGTGATTGGGATTTACCAATAAATAAAATGAAAACAATTGACGCGCAAGATATAAGGAGAAAAACAACATGGATAAAACCAAAAAAAAAAAAAATAACATAATAAATAAATTTGATAGAAGCTTGTATTAAAGTAGTTCATTTGGAAGAGGGAATCTTATAGCTACAGCAAAAAATAGAATGTTTATTTTAACTTTCGCACGAAATGTAGAGTTTAATAAAAACAAGAAATCAACGTAATATGATGAAAAGTAACTGACAAATTATCAATGACAATTTATCTTTAAAACTTTCTGAAACCTAAAGAATATCATGGCTATTATGATACTTAAACAATATGCACTCAAGTAAATGTAATAATGTGACAATATGATTATATTTTACTGTGATTATATGATTACGTTTTACTTTTACTTCTACTAGGTTCTCGGTGACTAATTAATTAAGTCCCTGCATATCGGAAAGTCCCTATTGCCAGTTAATGAGTCTTGCACCATGCGTAATACACACTTAGGCGATCATAAATTTTTCGATACATGAATGACGAGGCAGATTTTTTCCCGCAGTAGGTTGCAGTTTCTTTTTTGCGGTAGATCAGTTGCCATCCAAGGCTATAGAATCCGGTCTGTCCTGCTATTTAAGAAGAAGAGGATTAGGTTATTAGCACTAAGTGAATGTAATGGATTTGACTGGAATTCGAACTCGGTTCTCCGATTCCTTAATCCGAGCCTGTATCCATTACTCCACAGTGCCGCCCTAGCGTACTGATCGTATTTATTTGTGGTTCGACATTGAACTTCAAAACAGCTGAGAATTGGCGTTAAAAGCTAAAGAACTAAAATCGAAGATGCATTGATAAAATTGTAAATTTCTTGTTAGTAAGAGTAAAAGTACAAAGCAAAGATACATCCTTGGGAAAATTAATTGAAACAATACGAATAATTTGGCATCGAATCCAATAATTTGAAGCAGTCCTCATTGATTTTGGGGTCATGATACCACACGTCTATAATGGACGTCACAAGCTTCTCTTTCGCTGTACAGTACACGATTTCTCTGAAAGGTTTGCCAGTGTTCGTGCATCGTTACAATTTTTGTACGCTTCCTTGGAGTAACGTCAACTGAAGATAAATTTCATCATACACCCCGAAAATAGATTCATATTACTGCACACCACTGCAAATGTCCTAATCTAAGGAAAACATAGAAGTCGATTACACCGTGTCACTCCAGTGGGTCTAAAACTGACCGTATGGTGAAAGAAGGGAAACTAAAGCGGTGGTTTCAATTAATTTGCACAGGGGTATTGATTGTCATTGAACTGTAATTTTTAAAGCGCTAATAAAACTGAGAGAAATGAGATTAGCAACTCGAGTAAAATGAAGAACTAACATGGATGCGAATAAAAAGATGATGACGTAAAACAGACGATGGGATAATGAGAGAAAATGATGAGTGTAATGAAAAGGAGGAAGACAATCGAATAGAACAAATATATGATTTGATGATCGAAAAATTGAAAAGGAACGAGAAAAAAGAATAAATAAATAAATAAATATTCGTTTAAAGAGAAAAATGTACGGCAGTAAATTAAAATAAGCAGTAAAGAATCGAACAAGTGAGAGAATAAAACGGCCGTTTACGCTCTGTTTATATAAAAATGATTTATAAAGTGTCTAATAAGTGCAAGCTGTCACGGGATATGAGTTTTATTTACTTATTTTTTCTATTTTTTTTTTTTTTTTTTTTTTTTTTGAGTGATTTGTCAGCCTGATCCACCCAGTCCCAAAGGCGGGAATTGATAAGTTTGGAAAGAAAGACAATTAATGGCGCCACCTATTTCTTTGGGCCATAATTCCATTACATCTTGGATTTATTGCCTTTCACTTATTTGTGTTGCTTTTTTTTATTTTCTTTTATGAAATATGATAATATCGCCAAACATCTGCATCTGAAGGAATTCCCAATCAAGGGATTTTTGTAAGGTTCAAAAGAAGAATAAAAAGAACGAAATAAAATCAAACAAACAGGAAGGTGGAGGAAAGGAAGTGAGTAAACGGATATGGTGGTTGAAATTAGAGCAGACATGAAATAAGGAGTAAGAAAGAGAATGATTTTGAACCGATTAAAAGAACAGGGCCTCAAAGGAACTAGGCGAAAAAAAGAGAAATGGATGAAAAAGAGGAAGATCGAAAGGACGTAAAAGAAGTGGGGGGAAATAGAGCGGGAAAAGAAGATAGGAAAATAGAGCACGAAAAGAAGAGGGAGAAAATAAAGCGGTAAAAGAAGAGGAGGAAAATAGAGCGGGAAAAGAAGAGGAAGAAAATAAAGCGGGAAAAGAAGAGGAGGAAAATAGAGCGGGAAAAGAAGAGGAAGAAAATAAAGCGGGAAAAGAAGAGGAGGAAAATAGAGCGGGAAAAGAAGAGGAGGAAAATAGAGTGAAAAAAGAAGAGGAGGAAAATAGAGGGTGAAAAGAAGAGGAGGAAAATAGAGTGGGAAAAGAAGAGGAGGAAAATAGAGCGGGAAAAGAAGAGGAGGAAAATAAAGCGGGAAAAGAAGAGGAAGAAAATAAAGGGGGAAAAGAAGAGGAGGAAAATAGAGTGGGAAAAGAAGAGGAGGAAAAAAGGGGGAAAAGAAGTGGGAAAAAAAGAGGAGGAAAAAGAGGGAGAAAAGAAGAGGAGGAAAAATAGAGGGAAAAAAGAGGAGGAAAATAGAGTGGGAAAAGAAGAGGAGGAAAATAGAGTGGGAAAAGAAGAGGAGGAAAATAGAGGGAGAAAAGAAGAGGAGGAAAATAGAGTGGGAAAAGAAGAGGAGGAAAATAGAGTGGGAAAAGAAGAGGAGGAAAATAGAGGGGGAAAAGAAGAGGAGGAAAAGAGGGAAAAGAAGAGGAAGGGAGGAAAAGAAGAGGAAAAAAAATAGAGGGAGAAAAGAGGGAAAAGAGGAGGAAAATAGAGGAGAAAAGAAGAGGAGGAAAATAGAGGGGAAAAGAAGAAGAGGAAAATAGAGTGGGAAAAGAAGAGGAGGAAAATAGAGTGGGAAAAGAAGAGATGGAAAATCGAGTAGGAAAATTAGACAGTAGACATCTGGGTAAATTACAAAATTAAAAAAGACAACAATTATGTAAAAAAAGGGGAAGGGAACGAACGAACGAAAGAAAGAAAGAAAGAAAGAAAGAAAGAAAGAACTGAAATTAAATAAAATTAATTCATAGTAAAAGGTAATGAAAGTAAAAAAAAAGAAAAAAAATGTAAGAAAATATGATTGTTCCGAAGAGAAAGGAAGAGAGAAATAAAGAATGAATAAATGAAAGAATTGAAGAAAAATCAGAAATTAAATATAAAATAATTCAAATAATATCAATAAAAAGAAGAAGTGAAAATACGAGTGAAAAGGGAAAGACAGTAATGATGGGAATACCGTAAATTAAATATATTTTTAGAAAAATCTAATGAAGGCAAATAACGAAAAATCTGAATTAAAATATGAGTGTCAGGAAAACAATCAGACAAAATGAAAAGAAAGAAACAAAGAAAGATTGGTAAAGAAGGAGAAAGATGGATTTAATGAAAAAAAGACAGAAAGAAAACGATATAGAATGGATGAAAATGCGACATGTTTGAAAGATAATTAATCAGAGAATCCATCCATATTTATCAGCTAGAAGTCTTCGTCTCTGCTTTTGACCAATGAGCAGCAGTTAGCTAAATGCACTGGGTGATTCTTTTATTTTAGCTAAAATAATTTTCAAAACTTCACATTTATAATTCCACGAAATAAATCCGAAAAAGCTAAAACTAATTACATTTATATAAGAAAGTCCCCTACGTAATATCACATAAATCTGATGGCAGAAAAATGAAAGGACTGGTAGAAGCATATTTATAGAAAGCAAGGACAAACTTTTGTAACTTACCAGTGTCACATTTTATAAAAAACAAATAAAAATTAAGTTTTAGCATTAATTTATTCCATCCTAAAGCTGGAAATATAGTTTTTCGTGGATAATCGAATGTCAGAATCGAAAAAAGTCTTACATTTTTCGTTCTTTGAAAGATCATCTTAAGTACAAATATTGTTTTTGTTTTGTATCTGTCTATATTTTTGAGATGAGGTATTATGTACACTACATTATTTGGACTTTTGACCTCATCTTTGTCGCTATATTTATTACAACGTTTCGGCCGTTGTACTCTCCGGCCTTCTTCAGGTGGTTCGAATGTCGAATTGAACCATTTATTTTGCTCACTGGGGTAGACTGTTCTAGTTCCACGTGTCATGTTTAATGGATGTCAGTTATCAGTTATCTCCTGTTAATTCTCCTCTCCAACTTCTCTTCTGGCTTAAGTGGGTATTGAACTCACACACTTTGGGTCCGGTCAATGGATCTAACTAACGCCTTTATCCACTGTGTCATGTGTCCTTGAGGACATCTGTGTATGATTTTTTTTATCCAATAAAATAATATATACGTGGTGGAAAATCGAGAAAACGCTGCAGATACACAAGGAGGCTTAATTGTAAATGTAGATGTCACATTTTTGGCGACCGATGTATGCAAATATTTCACGCAGCCTATCACATTTCATCCTCTACCTTTTTTGCATCTATAACAAATATTCCACATTTAAGAAGCTTGCTTCTTTTTCTTCTTCTTCTTCATCATCATCATCATCATCATCATCATCAACTTCTTCTTCTTCTTCTTCTTCTTCTTTATCTTTCTTTTTATCTTCTTCCTTTATCGAGTTCACTTCAAGCAAAGCAGTAAAGCCACTGAGACACAAGCGGTTAACTGGGGGAAGACGAATTAGAAAACAGAAATGTTTTTAGGGAGCGGGAACAAACGATAAGTAATCAGCAGGACAGTTGATAGCGATTGGCATTGCATTTAAGCTTTTTCAGATTAATGTTGACGGGAATGCATAGAGTCGGAAGAGAGTTCCCGAAGAAAGAATTGCGGCAACATCTAGCCAACTCAATTCTGAATTCATGAGACCCCGTCGCCAGTCTAATATTGAGATTAAATTCATATTGTCTAGATAATATAGCGAAGAGTTCATCCACACATTTTCCATGAAAGTATTTTTAGAAAAAACACAGACAATCTACATTAAGACGATGGGAAAGAAACTGAAGCCGAGACACCAGATGAGAACCAATAATATTGCTTATTCTTCCTTAGATTTTAAGGATCTCTAGCCATATAACAGTATTCTAAACATGGAGGAAGGGTAGACTTATAGATGTGTAAGATAGATTCTGGAGAGTAAAATTGTCGAGAACGAAACAGTGAACTCACTTTCTTTGCAGCTGACCTAGCAATGGATTCGTTGTTCGCCGAAAACAACTTCTGCTACTCCTCCTCCTCCTCCTACTCCTACTCCTACTACTACTTCTGCCGCTGCATCTCATCATCATCATCATCATTTTCTTCTTCTTCTTCTTCTTCTTCTTCTTCTTCTTCTTCTTATTATTATTATTATTATTATTATTATTACTCCCCCTCCTCTTCTTCTTCGTTTAAAAGTTCGTACTGTGTCTTTTCAAAATGTGTGTCATCATCGCAATCCTGTCCTTTTTAGGTCTTGCAAAAACATAAACTCTTAGGTTATTCGTTACTTTCCGCGTTCCTTCTTGTTTTCAATATGTCCTGTGAGTGTCAGATTCTCTAAGCCGACTTTCTATATTATGTAACCGATTTTCTTTACGGAATTTGATATGACACTGTATGTAAATTTACAGTGAAAGAAACAGAAATTGCTACGCATTCTATACATTGTCTCCTTAATAAATTACTTTCACTCTTAATTAAAACTGTATTATTTGAGTCGAAATTATGATCAGATATATTATGATTAATGGTTAATGTATCGAATATATAGTTTTGTAATAAATATATTTTTGTTAATATATTCTTTTATTTAAATTACTGGAAGTTTCAGCTATGTATTTATGGCATATATTGTATATGCATATTTCCGGCATATATTGTATATTTGGTATATTCCTGACTCAATTATTAGGTTTATATTTTTGTTACGAATTAAAATGAATAGCACATGTAACTACATGTTAAAATAATTATATAATCCTATAAATTCAATGAACTTTAGAACATTAGAAAACCATATCATATGATGTTTTTCAATAGCAACAACTAGAATATAGCTAGAAGGGAAAATAATAATAAAGATGTTGTGTTTCCACACTACATTCAAGAAAAAATTTAAAATTAAATTTCACTTACAACTAAAAAGAAGAGTAAAAGATAGATGACTGCTCCCTTTGTCCATTTTGTCTCTCGATATTCCTTGAGAGTGTCCGATTTCAAAACATTTCTTCTTCATAATGTGTCCAAAATATTTCTGTTGTCTCTTTCTCATACGTGCTCTGTCAAAGATATTCCTTCTGCAGAACTACATATATGTTGCCTCCAGTCATTCTTCACCTGTGAAAAAAATTCACTAGAAAATATCACCATTACCATTAATTAAATGTCTTATTACTTTGAAGATGTTTTATTCAGGTGGCAGTTATGGTTCCAGTTTTATCAAGATTATTTACTTTTTTTTTTAACGAATTAATAGTATTTAATTGTAGAATGAATATATACTATATAGTTTTCTAATAAACAAATAGAATTAATTTTTCCAATAAATGTATAGAATTTATTTTTCTAATGAATTAGTAGTATTTATTTTTATAACAACTTGATATTTATTTATCTAATGAATATATACTATATAATATTATAAGTGCAGTTTAGTTTTCAAATAAGTTTATAGAATTTATTTTTCTAATGAAATAATAGTGTTTAATTTTATAACAAATAAATAGTATTTATTTATCTAATGAATATATACTATATAATTTTCTAATGAATTAATAGCATTCATTTTTACAATAAATTTAGAGAATTTGTTTTTCTAAAGAAGTAATAGTATCTATTTTCTAATGAACTAAAACGATTAATTTTTATTTATAAGTATTTATTTTTCAAACAAATGTATTGTATTTATTTTCTTACGAATCAGTAGTATTTTCCAATAAATTTGTAGTATTTGTATTGTGATGAATGTATAGTCTTTATTTTTAATGAATTAATAGTATTTACTGTCCTAAGGAATTAATAGTATTTACACTCCTAAGGAATTAATGCTATTTATTTTTGTAATGAATGCATAACATGTATTTCTCTAAGGAATTCATAGTTTTTAATTTTCCAATAAATTGATGGTATTTGTTTTTATAATTAATCAATAATATTTATTTTTCTAATGCATTAATATTATCTATTTTTTCTAACGATCTAATAGTATTTATTTTCTAATGAAATAATAATATTTATATTTCTGATGAATTAAGAGTATATTTATAATGAATGAATAGTATATGTTTTACAATTAATTAATATTATTTATTTTTCTATATATATATAGCATTTATTTTCTCATGAACTAGTAGTATTTATTTTTCTAATTTAATTAATAGTATTTATTTTTAATGAGTGTATAGAAAGGAATTAATAATATTTATTTTTCCATGAATTTATATTACTTATTTTTTTAATGAATTAATAATACATATTTTTTTTAATTAATAGTACCTATTTTTTGAATTAATATTATTTATTTTTTAATAAAGTAATAGTATACATCTTTATAATTAATTAATAGAATGTACTTTTCTAATGACTTTACACTATTTATTTTTACCGATTTAATTGTATTCGTTTTCCAATGAATTTTTAGTATTTGTCCAATAGATTTACTGTATTTTTATCATGAATATATAGTATTTATTTTTCTAATTTAATTAATAGTATATATTTTTTAATGAATTTGTAATGTTTATTTATCTTATGAAGTATTAGCATTTATTTTTTCCACTAAATTGATGTTATTTATTTTGTTAACAAATGCTTAGTATTTATTTTTCTGATGAATCAGTACTACTTATTTTGCTGATGAATGAATACTCTATTTACCCAATGAATGTAAAAGAGTCGTTTTTCTGAAGAATTAATAGGATCTACTTTTCCAATAAATTCATAGTAGTTGTTTTTCTAATGATTTAATAGTATTTATTTTTCTCAAGAATTTATATTTATTTTTCTTGTGAATGTATAGTAATTATTTTTCTAATTCCCAAAAGCCGGTAAGCTTTCTAGGAGACTTATATATGTTATAATTAGGATATTGAATGCCCTTAACTGAAATTTGAATATAATTCTCTTCGTCATATTAACATTATCATCTAAAAATTCTAAGTGCTTATAAACAGAATTCGATAATTATATTTATACAACCTTTGTTTCTATGTCATATGTAGAATTGGACTTTATGTTCGATTATGTTTAGTTTATTTCAAACATTCTTCTTTTCTTCTTCTATTTGTTGTTGATATTGTCCTTCTTCTTCTTCCTCCTCTTCGTCTTTTCTTCTTCTTCTTCTTTTTCTTCTTCTTCTTCTTCTTCTTCTTCTTCTTCTTCTTCTTCTTCTTCTTCTTCTTCCTCCTCCTCCTCTCCTTCTTCTTCTTCTTCTTCTTCTTCTTCTTCTTCTTCTTCTTCTTCTTCTTCTTCTTCTTCTTCCCGTCAATATATTCTTCAATCCCTCTTTCTGCATGATATGTCCAGAAAATTTCAACTTTTTCTTCTTGTTTGTAAATATATTTGTCTTTGTGCTTGTATTTCCATGAAATTTCATCGTTGCGTACATATTCCGTCAATGGTTATCTCAGCATCCTTCTGTAGAACAACGTGTATATTTAGAGATTGTTCCTGAAATCTAAATAATTTCCCATTTATTCATTTTTCAACCAATCAATATTTGCAGGTCATAATTCTTGTATGCATGATTATTTAAATTGTCTTTAAATATGAACATTGTTCGAAATAAAGTCTACTTTTCAAACTGAAAAATAGACACAACATAAACGTATTAATTTCTTTTGGAATTAA